AAAATAATGAGCTATGGACAATGGCGACAAAAAAATATAAACATAAGATTAAGTGCGCCAAAGCAAACTCAAACACACTATATGATCACGGAGTTCGGACCTTCCGTCCTACGTCTCCGCTCCCCTCTCCCGAGGAGAAATCCACTATCACAACCGGGTTTTCTACGCTCACCCGAATAACGTTTACAACCACACTATGTCGGTTTTCAACGATCACCGATCAACGTATACACTCACTCACAATGTCGGTTTTTAACGTTCACCAATTAACGTCCACTCCTCACACTCGGTTTTCTAGCTAACCGAAAACTTTACAATCTTACAAAGATAACAAATGATTTGTTCTCTAATACAATGCGAGAACTCAATTAAAGCTCAACTCAATGTTATAATTTCTCACAACCCTAATATACTATGTATGTAAATACTAAAAGCTCATGTGAGTGTGTGTAACAATGAGAATAAATAAAACAACTAAACTCAAAATAAAATCTAGCATATAGAAATTATGAATAAAATAATAAATAGCTAGAAATAGAGTTTAGGAATTCTTCTCTAAAAAACAAGATGGAGAGATGGATTAAAAGGAAGCTCAAACAATGTAGATGATCTCCTCCACTTGTGAACCAACCAAAACAGCTTTAAACCAAACTTAAACCACTGTTAAAACTTTTATAAACTTGTTTAAAACATCTCATTGGTTTTTGAGATAGAAGAGGGTTTGGGGGTTTATATAGGAAGAGGAAGCAACAGTAAAAATCCCAAAGGAAAAGACCAAACAGCCCAAGAATCAGAAATCTGATTCTGTACCAAAAGAGCCTTTGGGATAAACGACGGTCGACCGCGACGGTCGACCGCGAGCAATCCAGAGACTTCGACGGTCGACCGTGGCGGTCGACCGTGGGAAATCACGAGCTCACGGTCGACCGCGACGGTCAACCGTGAACTGATATATGAAATTCCAGGTTTTGAAAACAGTTTGCTGATTTTAAAACACTGTTTAAAAATATCAAATAAATTTAGAAAATTATAATACTTTGGGGAATGATTGTAGACATGATAATAAACATGTTACAAAGATTGGTTTGCAAAAAGAACTTCCCAAATGTAAAATATCATCATTTTATAAAATAGTTCAAAACATGAAAATGTAAACATATGAGTTTTGATATTTTAGCTTAACTATATTTTGAAACATTACAAAATGATTTTGTAGACTTAATAAAAGATGTATATGATTATTGTTAAGCCTATAAACCAAGAAATCAATATTTTCACAAATACAATAGAAAATGAAACATATGAGTATGTATATGAAAATATATTTGTTTCATATCTATGAAATTAAACCAAAACAACTTATCCACATAGAAAACAAGATGTATACACATTTTTTTGGAATTTATTTGTAAAAACTTGGATGAAGCTTGTAATTGGATCTTTAACTTGATAGCAAGGCTTCACCTACTATTCCGCCAACCTCCATTGGATGTTATCGTTGAAGCACAATCCATCCAACTTCCAACTCGTTGTTTACCTAGAATAAATACGAAAACACAAATACTAGACAAACAACATTAGAAGTAAATTGTTTGTTAAACATCATCAAAACAAGAAGACCAACAGAAAGAATAAGAACATAACTACATCTCCCATCACAAAATTTAGAGCTAATGATTGCATTGCTATAACATTCTGATTGCACTGATGATACATATTTGGTGATTGCACTAATACAATTTTTTAATAGCACCAATTTTAATTGCACAAGATAAATAGGGCAACGCCCCTAGATTAATGAGAACATAACTACGGCAATAAACTCTTAGCGTCACGAGAACTGGGACTACAAGATGGAAATCAATCTGAATACTTCCACAAGAAAAACAGGGCAACGCCCCTAGATTAATGAGCTCGAGTCCGTAATTATGCCCCTTTCAACTTGATCAGGCTTTTAACTACTCCCACTAGCACAAGCTCCCTGCTAGCAGACACAAGCATCAGAGGATCCAGGATCACCACATTGGTGTACGTGTTTCGAAAGCTCGACGTGATCCAGGTAGCCGCATATTTCGAACAATGTACTGTTGTTACGGAATTATGATACTTATATTAATATAAAAAAATTAAAAATTTTACCCCCTAAATAATCAGGCGCTTTTACAGGGACCCCAAATAGGGGATCTAAAAGGGGGACATGTGAGCTGTCTCCCTCCGGTTGGATGAATGCACTGTTCATGAACAGTGCATTCATCCAACCGGAGGGGGTCTCCCTCCGGTTGGATGAATGCACTGTTCATGAACAGTGCATTCATCCAACCGGAGGGGGACAACTCACCTGTCCCCCCTTTGGGTCTCTTATTTGGGGTCCCCGGGCATCAATCTCAATAACAACACGTAGACTTTTGTTAGTCTATTCCTCACAGGGGTTGGGCAATTCTAAAGCTACCTACGTAACAACCACCCACAATGAAAGACGCCCAAGAATAACGGACCAAAAGCAGCCAGGCAGTAGAAATCAATCATCTACTCCGAAGATTCCTGGCTTTCTGCTTTCCTTCATACCCTTCTTCCCTCTTCTTCTTCAACCTTACTTGAGGGATTGAGAGCTTTTCTCTCTCTCTCTCTCTCTCTCTCTCTCTCTCTCTCTCTCTCTCTCTCTCTCTCTCTTTATTTTTTATTTTTTTATATAGCAACAGCTGAGTGTGTCCTCTTTCATTTGCACATCCACAGAGCCAAACGTCTTCAAAAGGCCTGAGATCACATTTAAGATATCGAATTATTAGGCAACGATAGGTGGACCCAATACCCTTTAAAAACTATAGATTACAAGATGCTAGAAGCATTGTACTTGAATTAACATAAAACTAAGTCAGACTATTAGGACGTAAACAGGAAAATCTCAATACTTTGGCATAATATCGCCCTTCTCCGAATTTCATTCGGAAAAAAAAAACAGAAAAATAAGAACTAGTAGGAAAGAGAATATATGATTATTGCCGACAAAAAGATTACTAGCTAGGCTGTCCAAAGTTAACCATGAGTACAACACAAACAGAAAAACAACGATCGTAAGATTGCAATGCAAACTGATAAATACTCGGGAGAGCACTAAAAGCAAAGTTTGGCTGTAGAAGAGGGGGGTGAACACTAAGGTACACCACCTAGTTTTCAACAAGGGGAAAGAATAAATATGGAGGCTTAAGAAAAAGATGTATTCGCATGAATGATCAACCGATCCATTTATGACGCATAGTAATGGAGAACAGGTGTATTTTGACGGTTAAACCTCAAGAACATCGAGAAAATTATGAAAGCACAGAAAATATTCACTGAAAACTGGAGGTGAGTTTATGGGCAGAGCATGAAAATTGACATACAAAAGAACAGTACACCATATCTCCATGTTTTGAATGCGATCAATGCTATTGTAACAGGACAAGATCCAATATGTGGGATAAAATAAATAGATTCGGTGTCGACATTGTGTTCGAGTGCCACGAGAGATTATGTGGAGGAGAACCCTTGGCTTTCTCTATGGATCAGGTTGTCTGACTCATCATCCCAACACGACAGGAACTTCTCCACTAGGAAACATAAGCATCCGAGCTTGCATCATCATGCAACAAAAAGGCACAGAAAAATGCTAGGTCTATTCTGGGCGAACTCAGCTCCCCCCTTGTCCTCTCAGCATTTTACATTTTGACGAAACTCCATCATACCCACAATATAAAGTACTAGTGGCTTCAAAAAGCAGAAATTACTGGAGCATCCCACTACAAATAATGGGATCAATCAGCCAGATATTCCACTGAGATAGCACTAAACTAATGCAGCAACCAGCTCTCAGATGCCTTTATCACCATTATTGATACTTATATAAGATGTTAAATATACAAGTGATAATAATGTTAATGACATCCCCACTTAAATTCCTTGTCTGCAAAAAATCCTTGAGTGATAACAATCGTTCTTTTATAAGTCAGCAGGACAAGTGTGAGTGCTAGGTGACTGCACTCTCCAACAAAAGAAATTGTCAAACATCTTCTGGTTTTGAATAAAAGGTAAAATAATCTTTTCTCATGAAACTCGTTAACATCCTGCTGACTTTTTGGAAAAAATTACCCAAGAACCCACCCGTCCATGTTCGTAGATATAGACTATGACATAGGAAATGATTCTCCGTTCGCAGACCGCCCAAGTAATGCACAACAGCTAAAAGATGAAATTGATGAGTTATGGACATAACCAAGGATCAATTTTACAAAGCCCCCCTGAACTTTATGGATCATAGAAAACCACTGAACCTGTCACTTGAGTATCACGACTGATGACAATTGTTTGAATAAATACAATTTTTATATTACCCTTTTCGAGCAAGGGTATGTGCAGCAGTTTAAGCCGTTTACCAGTTAACATTGTTTACGAGAATTTGCAATAGTTTAGGGGGTTTAGTACAATTTCAAAAGTTCAGGGCTTTTATATGATTTATGAAGTTCAGGGGTCCTGTGAAATTTATCGAATAATGAACAGGGATTGTAAAAGGTCATCATAAAGCTACATGGATGCATGAATTTATAAGACGAAAACCTCTCATCAAACGGTGAAAGCCACATGATAGGACTTGTACTGAACATAGTATGTAAGTCTATATATATACAAGAACATAAAAGAAAGATCACCTTCTTGTCGGCCGAGAAAATGGGTAGAAAGAAGCACAAGATATGACAGCGGTCGATGGAACTGTTGTTGGATCGTCAACCTTGTATTATAGCTTCAAAGAAGAGAACCATGAAAAGTTGGTGTGACCAGATGGGGGAAAAGATATGAAGAGAATCTGAAGATTGATATGAGCAACAGTAAAACATGACACTGTCATTGTCTCTCGAATTTACAAGCACCACAATGGTGTGGGCCTCTAGCTAAAAGGAATTAAATGGATAACCAGATAAAAAAGAAATATCCAACCTCACTTCTTTTGCTCCTCATTGGCTCTAACTAAGCATCTATTCCCACTTCCAAACTAGTTCTCCTCCTTTTAAAGGGAAACAAACCACCACCACCCATCAAGGTCTGTGGCTTAATTCCTATAGCTTCCCCTCTTCAAATAACTCCCTTCACGTTGATAAAAAAATGCAAGAAGATAAGCCAAATTCAGGAACCTGGTTGAACCTGACCCTCAGCGTGAATACTGATTCAGCCGGAAGCTCTTCAAGCTCACAATCTGGATCGACTTCTCACAAAGTGTTCTCGTGCAATTTCTGCATGAGGAAATTCTTTAGTTCTCAGGCATTAGGAGGGCATCAGAATGCACACAAAAGAGAGAGGGGGGCAGCTCGGAGAGCTAACCAGGCCCAGAGGATGGTGATGGGTTTGCCATTAAATGCTCCTTTCCTCCATTCATTACGAGTTAATCCTCATTCGGTTGTTCAAAAGCCGCAGAGAGATGGAGGGAATATGGCCATGGTTGCAAGATTCAACGACATCTCTTCTACTGCTAAGATGACATGGACACCATTCTCTCCTGATGAAGCAATGGATATGAGATGGTCTAGAAGTTTCACAGATAATCCTCAGCAGCCAAAACAACCATCAGAAGTACAAAATCTTGATTTGAATCTCCGGCTTTGATCTATTTCTTCATCCTTTACAACACATTTTTGCTCCCCTAGCTCTGATCATCAATTATCTTATTAGCCGACCGAGTTAGACTGCAATCCAACAAAAGTTCAAGATTTCGTGAAATGAAATTTGTCATGATACAGCAAAACCAATAAGCTGTAAAGTGTTTTTTGCGAATATTGTGGAACATAGAAGCTCTGCAGGTTATTCCTTTATCTTTCCAATTTCAAAAGTGTCGTAAGACTTGTATTTAAATAATTATCTACGTCGCAATTACTTCCATAAATTGTAAATAGCTTCACAATTAAGATGTCCTTATACGTTCTTTCTCTTTCTCGAATGATGCTATCATAATCTTTATAATACATAACAACAATCATGGTAGATTAACATCATAGGAAACTTACTAAGTTAATTCACCTATCAAGATCAAATGAATCAATAAGGTGTCACGTTAACAGGTTTCAGATATCAAGTGGAGGAAGGTTACAATAATTAAGAACAATCATCAAATGTAATCCAGGGGAGGACACAAAGAAAGAAAGAACGAAACATGCTCATCACTACGTTTTCAACAAGCTGCATAGTTGTGATTCAAACAACTATTATCTGTACATTCACAAGATCAACGGCCACAAAAAATATATATTTCACTAGGTGATAGCCCTTTAAAGAAAAGAACGAGAATTTTTTCTGGCTTGCTACAAAAAGAAAAGTGATCTCCCAGTGCTCATAGTGAATTGATTTTGTTTAAACAGTTAAAGAAGGCTGTTGAAATAATTTCCCACACCGAATGCTCTGAATTCTGTTTGAGTATCCTCTTTTGTGTGTTTACGTGCTAATTGGGGAGGGGGTGGGGGTAGTTTATTTAAGGTAGGAAAAAAGACCTAAGGATGGAACCAAAGTTTGTATGGACTAAAGTTGTCAAGATGCACTGAACAAGCTTCTTTTGACATATGTTGATGGCATAGTACATAGAATTGTTGAAAAACAATTTCTGAAAAATGACTATTCTTAAGACCAACCACAAATAATTGAGGCAGGTTGTATTTTGTTATGCTTATCCTAAACAGCAAGTGCTCATAGTAGCACTGCTTGGAATATCTAAAACCTTCTTTATACCAAAAGATTTTTTTTCCGAGGGTGTAGCCTGGTCCTGAGCCTAGGATTTCCAATTACCCAATCCCCACTTTACATTGAGCTTGGTCTCAATGGCCAAAAAAAACAAACTCTTAACACGATTGAGTTTATGCCAAAAAACATTATCATCCCTAAATGTGTGCTATACTTTCTCATCACACAACAGATTGACCCGTGGCATCTACTTATCCTTACGTACGCTAAGCTAGGTCTCAATAGCCAAAAGCCATTAAACATGATTAAGTTCATGCCAAAATCCATCTACCATTCCCAAATGCGTGATACTTGCCTTTCTCATTACGCTACACTTTGAACTGTGGCACGAATCTACTTAATCCTTATGTACAAGCTTTCATATTTACACCAAAAGGTTTTAGAAAGAAATAGTTCTCTCCTTGAACCCAGCCCAAAGTTATTTGATAAAGTTTGAAAAAAAGTTAGTTGCAAACCTATTATGAAGTAATGTTCAACATGGAATTAGGAACAAGAATATAAATGCCAATCGACAGCACCGGTTCAAGTTCCTCATTGTGTTAGTTTTACCTAACTGATCACCTGACCACAAGGAAACCAAGCAATGAACATACATATATCACTGCAGAATCAGAAAATAAATACTCGCAAGATATTCTTCCATTCTTTTGCGCCTATTACAGAAAAAGCGGCATCATAAGCAATCTCATTCTCCCCTGTGGCATGCTTTTATTTAAACGCTTTGTTCAGCATTGATATTAACTTCAATAGCTTCTTATGCAGGATACCTTTAATGGGTCTATAATTGAGAAAAAGATGGAGAATGATCTCTGATATCCCGTCACAAAATCACATCCCTAGCCCTTATATGTCAGATTTCCTTTCTTACAGGAGAAGCCATTATAAGTAACCTCTCCTTCAGAACTAGCCACATATACATCTTAATTTTAGGAAGATAATAGAACCTCAAGATTAGTTCTGCAACAGGGCACAACTGCCTCCAAAAGACAATCATGACAAGACCGCACATAAAAAGACCCTGAAGCTTGTCATGTCTATATTCTACTATCTGTATCTCATTCAGTTGGTGTCCTTTGAAGCGTGGAGAAGAGCTTATATAATTCCCACCAAGGTTTAAAATATCACATATCGGAAAAATATTGGACGACCAAAATCCATTTCAGATTATGAATGTTGGGGAAATATTCGGAATATGCAGTAAATATTAGAGTGCCATATCAGATGATGTGCATATATAATATGGAGTTATTTCAATATTAATCCCTCAAATCTTCAATATTTCCAGATTAGTCTCCCAAATCACAGAAATTCCTATTAAGTCCCTCAAATCATCCAATTCTTACAATTAGATCCCTCTTGTTAACAACAGTTAGATCTAAAGCAATATTTCCTTAAAACTAACTTTAGAATGTGGATTTCGCATTATGCCCAGTACCTAACAATCTAAAACAAATCCATATGACATCTAACCCGTCTGGACTAGATTAGACCCGTTTTTAAAATTAAAATCCAAACCCATTTGCACCTTCTTCTCCAGTGGTTCTCTCTTCTCCCCTAACCCATTTTGAATGGCTATATCCCATCTCAATCCTACAAAATCCCCAAAAGAGACCTTTAAACAATCCATCTAGATGTAGATTGAATCACAAAAGATGCATAAGATACAAGTAAAAATTAACAGTGAATCCAAAATAAGTGATAACATCATCTGTCAACCATAATTATCCAAAATACAATAATCATAAAGCAATGAAGCACAAAAATAAAGAGAATTTAGTTTGCATATACTTCAATTAGATAACTTTTGTTTCTTCTGTTTAGCTCTAAGTTAATTTCTTTAAGAACTGTCAATCTTTCACAAAACTATGAGATTATGAAGAAAAATGCTAAAAGGAAAAACTTCCAATCACTTGGGGAAGAGGTCAGTAGGGGAAATGAGGAGGTATGTAGGGAATTCTTATTTCCCTTTTCGATCACCAAAACATTGAATAGAAGGGGAGGGAAATGAGGATTTTGTGGGGAAAATACATCTAACAACATTTTAGTAATTAGAATGTAGGGGTAAATACCTAACACATCTCCAGTTAAGCAAATACATGTTAAATCACACAGAGGGACCTAGTTGTAAGAACTTGGATGATTTGAGGCACCAAAAAGGAACTTCAATGATTTGGGGGTCTAATTTGGAAATATGAGAAAGATTTGAGGGGCTAATATTGAAATAACCCTATAATATAATGTCATAAATGTGATCTAAACACACTTAATCATATCTAAGCATATAGAAATGTAAATAATGAATCACTAACCAATTGTAGAAACTTTTTAGGGAAACGAACCTACTATAATTTGCTAAAAACCTTCGTAGGTTTGGAAATTTTTGTTAAAATCATTATCGCCCAAAAAATTGCCAAAAGGTGGTAATGGGTATTCAAACCATATCGTTTGTGACGAGCCTTATAAAAAGATATATCGGCCGATATATTAGCTATATCTAAGATATTTAAAATAATGATTCCTATCCAAAAGGCATTCTTTATTTAGGACAATAAATAAGATATCCCTGTTTCCGTTCTTCTTGAGAATTCACCAAAGCTTCATGGTTCCTAGACTGAAAATAAGGATTAGGATAAGATATTGAAGATATCCTAATTTACTCCAGCTGATCCACAAGTCTTTCCAAAATCTTATTTGAAGCTAAAATGATACATAAAAACCTACATTAAGGCAATAAGATGTTCTGTGCCATTAATAATAATTTCACAACAAGCAATTTAGAAGAAGTTAGAGAATTCAATAGCAGGAGCAGAGAAATACTATAAATTTCATAAGAAAAAGTTACAGTGAAGAGGGTAAAGAAGCTAAAATTAACAATTAAAATGTCCACAACCATTTTCAGTGTGTTAAAACTATGCAAATACACCAATCCTTCAAATATTGTATAAAATGAGACATGTCAAAAGATTTTGCTACAACAACAAAGCCTTTATCCCGAATCTCGGGGTCAGCTACATGAAAATCCTTCCATTCAGTTCTCTTGTGGGTCATCTACCCCTTATTTCGTTGATTGGTTCCAACCAAATTCTTTTCTAGGTCTACTTGTAGTCCTCTTTGCTTGTAAATTCATATCATCTAGATGCAAATAACATTTATCCTGGTTGTTGATTACCTGACGCAACCATCCTCTTTTATCTTAGATTGGGATATGCAGTAAAAAATAAATATTAGAGTAAACAATGGAGGAGCCATCCCAAGGTGTTGCTGCTATGTCAAAATCAGAATATAAGAGACCCTATTATTCAATCAAGAATATTTGTCTGCTACATGTTTATTAAAAGAAGAATACATGTCCATTACATATGAACTTCAAATGTAGCTCACTTGACACCGTAGAACGTCACCTATCGTCCATTATGTACAATCCACAAGGCTTCTACATCAGAATATAATTCGCTTAACAAACTAGCATCACAGCATCTACAAAAGAATAGTGGCAGCTATTATTTTGATGTCAAAATAAATACATGATTGTAGCTATGCGTAGCAACGCAATACTGCAATAGTACAGTGATCTTCCTTTATTTAAAATGATGGTTAATAGTCTTATTCTTAAGGTTTGTAATCATACGCTCTTAGGAATGCAAAGGCCACAAAACATAGATGGATTTGACTAATCCTCTGGCATTCACATAGATTAAAAACAGTTAAATCTATTTGAGTCATAAGTCCAAATGTGCTTATCCATGTAACCCTTTTTTCTACTGTGGTACTAAATCCTAACCTCATATTTTGTTAGATTAAATTCACACTTGAGACTGAACGCACAGAGAACACCTGAAGTAACTTTCTCCAGCCAACTCAAGCCGGACTTGTCAACTTAATATCCAATGTAGATGGCAATTCAATTACACTATGCTGACAAATAAAACTGTGAATGGATGTGATAATTCTAAGTTCTTAATAGGATGATGCCTGCATTTCTTTGATGAGTGTAGTTTCCAACATATGATGATGTCTGATGAGAATTGATAGCACCTTTCATTAATATATTTGTAATATTGTTTCCCACACCTTTTCTACTAGCAGCATTGCAAAACCTTGGAACTTTTACAAATAATGTAAGCAAAAAACAGATATATTGGTCATAATGATACAATAAGTGTTCATCTGAAATAGTCATGGTATACGGATGTAAGCAAACAATCCAACAAGGCCACCATGATACCTTGAAAAAAAGTTTCCAACACATTTTCCGTACGAGCTTTTAACAACTTCTTCAGCAAGGTAAGAGAAATTCTTCTATCATGAAGTCAACATCCTTGTCGGATATCCACCTTTCTTGGAAACTCCTAAGACAACATATTAAACACTTCTCAAACATGTTCACAATTTTATAACAAAACCTCTATTTTATGATACTTATTAAACCACATGTTATGCATTTCTCACACGTTATATTTAATATACATGTATAGGATAATGTTTTACTTATATTTATACATCAAGTATAACTTAGTGAAGCTAATATGATTTTAGATTTTATAGCTTGTTTTGATCAGTTTAGACATTGGTTAACTTTAATAGGATTTGGAATTAGTTTTTGAACTCCTAGGATTTGAAACTAGTTATATTCGTTTAAAGTCTGTTTTTATTTGTTGGTTAGCTAAATTTGGTCATCTTTAGCTGATGATATTTGTTGGTAAGTCAGCTACTTGATATACATTCTCCATTCTCATATATGTAAAGCCTAGAACAGAACTAAGGTTTAAAAGATATTCATTTCTTGATAAATATATGATTAATCGTGTCCCGGTCTCAAGTTTATATCTGCTCCCTCTTTCTCCTGGTCCAGCTGACCCTAATTTTTTTTGTCTAGTAACCTCTGTTAACTTATTGAACTTCGTAGTGAATGCCTTTTATTATTATTTTTTCACATATGTTCATGTTTTCTTTCAAGGTGAGGAAAAATTGTTTATACAACTATTCCTCATATTGTATGCTGTTTCATATCACACATTTAATATTGTGTGCATATCCCTTGTCTTTTAGAAGAACAAGATTTCTTTTATCTTTGGTAATATCCATGCCTTTTATGAGATATTAGGTCACTGATGGTCTAATATCAAAACCTTTGAATCTTATATATATTGAATCTTATATATATATATATATATATATATATACACACACACACATACATACATATATTAGCATATACTTGGTACCAAGCATATTCATTCTTCTCTCTCTCTCTCTCTCTCTCTCCCTATATATATATTTAAATTAATAAATCAACACAATATGGATTTTGTTTTTTTCATAAATGATATGAAAACTAAAATTTCGTCCAGCTGACCCTAATTTTTTTTGTCTAGTAACCTCTGTTAACTTATTGAACTTCGTAGTGAATGCCTTTTATTATTATTTTTTCACATATGTTCATGTTTTCTTTCAAGGTGAGGAAAAATTGTTTATACAACTATTCCTCATATTGTATGCTGTTTCATATCACACATTTAATATTGTGTGCATATCCCTTGTCTTTTAGAAGAACAAGATTTCTTTTATCTTTGGTAATATCCATGCCTTTTATGAGATATTAGGTCACTGATGGTCTAATATCAAAACCTTTGAATCTTATATATATTTAATCTTATAATATATATATATATATATATATATATATATATATATATATATATATATATATATATATATATATATATATATATATATATATATATATATATATATATATATATATATATATATATATATATATATATATATATATTATATGTATATATATATATTATATGTATATATATAAGATTCAATATATAAATATAAATATAAATATAAATGAGAGGTTTCTAAAGGTTAATTGCATGTAGACCTTTGTAATATCGTGTTGTGCCACTTATTACCCCCTAAGTTTGCCCTCAGGAGGTCTATCTACAAAAATAAAAGCAGGCGTTTCTGAGAGTAAAAGGGCAAAAAATTATCAAATTTAAAGGGTAATAAGTGGCACAATGTAATACTACTGGGAGCCTAAGTGCAATTAACCCTTAGGTTTTTCATAAGGACTATGAAGGCCGAGTTTTCAGTTAAAAAAAATTATTTGCGGCTCAGAGATGTATAGACCAATCGGTAGTTTGATCGTAAAATTTCATCTTTTGTTTTTGGAAATTAACTTATATTGAATGCTAATAAAACTAATTCCTTGTCATTTGAGTATTTCAAAATAATTGAATAATGAGATCTCAAAATACTTCATTTCAACTGACCGCATATGCATTCATCTAACTAAAGGATGGTAATATGGAGACTCTGCAGTGGATTACTGAGCACTGAGAGTGCAACTCAATATAAACTAATTAAATCTGGTACTTTTTGGGATTAGTCATGGAGACCAAAGCCAATTCTAGAACAGGAACTGCAAAAGCGACAACTTATTTCCTGAAATTTTGTATATAATCAAACTTTTCCACTTGACCAAATATTTTTCTTATCATAATAGAATATCTAAAAACTATAAACGAAGAAGAAAAGGTGGCAACACCTGTCTCTAGCTACCAGAAAAAGTGTAAGTGGAGCTCTCATGCAGTCAAGGTTGCTCAGTTTGTCCCCAGCAGCCTCTTGATCTAACAGAATAGAAATACAACCTTGAAATAAACATCAGATCCTAGCCTCCAATTTCCGGATATAAACAGCTATCACTATCTTGTAGCTCAAACTTTGACTGTTGTTAAATCCAAGCAACCTGATTTTGTTGCTCCTGATGATCATCAAGAACAAGCTCTTCTAAACAGAAATCTATCAATTTATTGCATATAGTAGCTAGACAACTCCAACCCCTTATTTCATTTTCATTTCATTTCTTATTTTCCCAAAAGCTTTGACAAAGGAGCAACCAAATTAAGACATCAATATCAAATTTGTGTGCAACGTAGCCACTAAATCCTCATCCACTAATGCTATATAAGGAAAAATGTTTTCTGATATTGCTAATTTGTGTTGTCTGAAGACTAGTCATTATAAATGGATACATTTCACCTTTTTCGCATGATAATAGCATTCTGTATTGTCTGTTGAAAATATGCAAGTTCATTCAACTAAATTGAAGCAATCAAAAGCCATTGCATCCATATATCTTTCTGGAAACTCTTGCTAGCGAATGTGATTAAATTCCATGATTGAGAACACCAATTTCTTTCAGCATTTGCAACTTAAAGTCAATTGGTACTTCCGATCACTTTACACTTGGAAAAGTATGTGTTGAGAATTTGAAATCATTTCCCTTTTACTGAATATATATGCAAGTGAGCATCCAGAAGTTGATCTTAGAACAATGATCTTAGCTTCAAAAAAATAAAAAGATATATAACTGGTTGTGTCGGTTTATAGCATGGTCAACCTTCTAGTGTCCTTGCAAATTAGTGGGGTGTGATCTCTGGCAATATCAGTTGGTAACTTTATTAAAAGGATCTAAGATCCCATGTCTAACAAAAAAAGGAAGATAATCTCCACAACCCTAGATTTGTCATTTGAGATCGAGGTGACCCTTTCAATACGAACCAGATCACAAGGCACACTGTAACAAAATTCTAATACTTAAAATCCTTAGAAACCTTGAAAGTAGAATGTTGGAATTTCTAAAAGAGGAAGCATGAGGAGACACACTTGAACTGTAACAAGCAACCAACCACAGTTCAGCCAAGTGCACTGACTTTTCAAATCATCAGATAGAACATATTGAAAAAGAATCACACCATCTTATTTATCATGATCTAAGTTGCATGGAAACGGGTACGGGTACTGATACGGGTGCGGGACACAACAAATTTGTGAAATGTAAGGTAGAGGGACCTCTCTCTCTCCAAAATCACAGCAACTCTCTCTGTCTTCAACATCTCCTTATCCTCTCTCTTCTTCAACCTTCGTCTTCATGGTTTATGAAATTATTTTGACGCTTCGTCTTCACGGTCTTCTTCAACCTTCGTCTTCATGATTCAGTGGGCTGTTAAATTATTTTGACGCTTTAATGGTAAGTTTATAAAATTTGTTTGATTTTTCGTCTAAAAGTTTTAGTTTTAACCTTAAAGATCGTAGCTTTTTGTTGTAAAAGGTGAAATATTTCACCTTTTAGTCTGAAAAGTTTTTTGTTTTTTAAAGAAACCAGTTGAAAAACGAAGACACGCATAAGTGAATCTAGATTCACTGCAGTGAATCCAGATTCACAGCGGTGAATCCAGATTCAGTATGTGAGGTGTTTGTTTTTTACCATAAAAATCGTAATTTTTTGCTGTAAAAGGTGGAATCTTTTTATGGTTAAAAATTTTATAGCTTGTTTTCTACCATAAGTTTCTTATTCTTTTTGTTTAAAAATTTATAGCTTATTTTTTACCATAAGTTTCTTATTCTTCAATATAATCCAGATTCACTGGAGTGAATCCAGATTCACTGGAGTGAATCCAGATTCATTCCAGCGAAAGCTTGGATGGTTAGGATGGTTTTTAATGAATTGTTGAAGAAATAAATGCATGTGCTGTAAGTTCGAAGAAATTTTTTGCTGTAAAAGGTGAAATCTTTTCATGGTTTAAAATTTTATAGCTTGTTTTCTACCATAAGTTTCTTATTCTTTTTGTTTAAAAATTTATAGCTTGTTTTTTACCATAAGTTTCTTATTCTTCAATATAATCCAGATTCACTGGAGTGAATCCAGATTCACTCCAGCGAAAGCTTGGATGGTTAGGATGGTTTTTATTGAATTGTTGAAGAAATAAATGCATGTGCTGTAAGTTCGAAGAAATAAACGCATGAGTGAATCTAGATTCACTACAGTGAATCCATATTCACTACAGTGAATCCAGATTCACTACAGTGAATCCAGATTCACTACAGTGAATCCAGATTCAGTTATGTGAGGTGTTTGTTTTTTACCATAAAAATCGTAACTTTTTGCTGTAAAATGTGAAATCTTATCATGGCTTAAAATTTTATAGCTTGTTTTTTACCATAAGTTTCTTATTCTTTTTATTTTTTATTTTTACAGATTTGCTATTGTTTGATAACGAGTTCAGTCCACTGAATCTGGATTCAATTCAGTGAATCTGGAGTCACTCCAATGAATCGAGCTTCAATATAATCCAGATTCAATGGAGTGAATCCAGATTCACTACAGCGAAAACTTGGATGGTTAGGATGATTTTTAATGAATTATTGTTGTGTTCTTCATGCGAAGATGGAAGATCAAATCTTGATAGAAGATGGAAATGAGTTACAGAGAGTATTAAATGACGTGTTGTATTAAAGGACGTGCTGTAAAAGAGAGTATTAAAGGACGTGTTGGATTAATGTAGTGAATTGTTCCAATTAATGTAGTGAATTGTTTCCAATGTTGCCAGCCACCATTAATGTAGTGAATTGTTCCAATTTTACCCTTTTTTACAGCTGATGTGTATTAAATATGTCTATATTTACAATTCTGCCATTAAAATGTAGGCCATTGGATTAGATAGATTGGAGGGTTAGGATTGGTTTTTAGTTCCTAGGTATATAATAATACTCTGCCCTAATATAATAAAATAAAAAATATAAATATAATATATATAGAAACTCCTAATAAAAAGTTGTGTCCACCAAATATACATTTATTAAATAATAAACACTTTATTATATAATACAGAGGATCCCTAGGCAATATGATTGGTTTAATAAACTTGTGGTGGAACACATCTATTCCTATCCACTTTAACTTGCAGCAGTTTTTACTATATATATATATATTATATATATATATATAATTATATTATAATATATATAATTATATATTATATGGAGAAGTGTTCCTAAGGAGACGCCTTAGATAATCATCTAAGGACGCAGTCTAAAATCACATGATTGAACTACATTGTAGATGATCCGCTCCGTTGAACTTGATTTACATATTCTAAAATCCCAACACACCAAGTTTGGGGTGAACCCATCGTCGTTTGACCCTCCGTCGAGCCATGTGAAAAGTTCTATTCATTCGAAACCGTTAAAATTGATACGAGTGGATAAAGGGTCAAACGACGACGGGTTCACCACAAACTTGGTGTGTTAGGGTTTTAGAATATAAAGATCAAGTTCTACGGAGCGGATCATCCACAATGTAACTCAATCATGTGATTTTAGACCGCGTCCTTAGATGATTATCTAATGTGTCACCTTAGGAACACTTCTCCCATATATATATATAATGAGATTATTAGTATTTTTCAATTCATTTGCTATTTGAAATTAATTTTGTATCATATTTTTAAGTTTCTTTTATCTTTTATCTTCTATCATATTAATTATTATAAATTAGAAACTGCTAGTTCTTTAACTAGACACTCAAACCACCATTTTAAATCATAGTTTTTAACTTGAATATAGGCTGAAACAACCGGACGTATGTCTAAAGAGTTTTAGAAAATGGTCATGAAGTGTAGGATATAGGTCCAAGAAGTGTATGACTAGTATTTTAAATTAAAACATATATCCTATAATTGAGTACATGTCTTGGTAAATGTATGCAATTATGCATACATCCAAGGAGTGTCTATGAAGTTTGAGTAGGGATAAGTGTTGGGTACGTGTCGGGTACGGGTACGGCTTCATGATTGAAGTACCCGGGTAACATAGGTCATGATATATTCCAATGGCAGGTGAACGGGACCTTTTCCTATTCAACTGCAGGTCATGTATGTTATGAATGCAATCCTTTAGCTCAAACAAACCATAATCTGTCTCAATTTGTAGCATTTCTCTGAGACCTATGGCACAATTCAACACCATATAAAGGTGTAATGACAATTTATCAGTAATTAGCAAGCCATAGTTCAGTTGTTATCCAACGATGGTTTTTAAGTTAATGAAAAATCTTGCAACAAAAACAGCAGAGGCAGCAATAACCGATGGCAAGAACCAAATGCAACTGTAGTCCACAAAACTCAGCTCAGCTGGGTAGTTGCCCAGGAACTCCAATATAGATCCAGGTATTATAGTAATCATATCATCCACTGTCAGTTCAAGCGTACAAGAGTAAACTATCTCATATAAAATCAAATATCCTTGCTTAAAATTTCCTGTAACTTACTTTTGGTATTATCTTGATTCTTGACCAGCCTTTATGAACCCCCTGAAATGAAGCGCAAAACATAATGTTAACTAGACTACTCTCTTCTACACCAGTTCCACACTACAAGGACTACAAGAGAGAGAAATGTGTGCTCCTTTGACGTGTCATCAATTTTGAAAAAAGTTAGGAGGATGGACCCCACACTTTTCTCTCTTATATTGTGGGATTAGTTAGTGTCGGGTTAGTGTGAATGTAGTAGCTTAATTAATAAGGACAAGAAATGACAATATTTGATTATTTGATATATTTTTAAATTTTGAATTTTGAAATTTAAAATTTAAAATTTGAAATTTAAAATTTAGTTTAATTTTAGTTGATTGATTTGAGGGATTGTTGTTTGTTTCTATTTTTATCGCACGTTGTGTGCACGTAGTTTTTTTAATAAATAAGGTTGTATGAGACTATTGAAAATGAATGAATTTGAAAAATAAAATGAATTATTGTGTTAGCTTAATCAATTGGTGTGAAACCATACAGGGTGTGAAACCTTAGGCTACCACTGTTCAGTTGTTTTCTTTTGTTTCAGCAACCAGTCCTTCGTTGTCTCTCCACATCAATTTAGGCTACCACTGTTCAGTTGTTTTCTTTTGTTTCAGCAACCAGTCCTTCGTTGTCTCTCCACATCAATTACAAATCCCGCTCCTGTTCAGTTTTCTTTTGTTTCAGCAACCAGTCCTTCGTTGTCTCTCCACATCAATTACAAATCCCGCTCCTGTTCACCTTTCTTCAACCTCAGGCTCCACTTCCTTTCTTCCTTGCCACAAACCACCACCATCAATCACCGCCCTTGCCTTCCCTACCTTCGAGCAACAACCACGTCCTTCCCCCTCCTCCTCCTACTCAGCCGCAGTCCTATCTCTCTCCCCGTCGCTCCCCACAACAGCATAGCCGCCTTTACCTCCTCCACTCGCCGTCGCCCAATCCCCACGCCCTGATCCCTCACCTTTGAACGCAGCAGGAGTTGATTTACTCTCTCCTCCGTTTCCATGAAACTACTTGTCGCCGATCAGAAGCCTTCCAGATCTCTGCAGGAGTTGAGCTGGATAAATATTTGGGAAGCCATTCACCAAGGAGAGATCAGAGCCTACTCGTGACATGTGTGGACTTGTTGATACGATGGCTTTGGGTTTCACTACAGTAGTTAATAGGCTTTGGATTGTTTAGATTTTTATCAACATTTCTGAATAGTAATCCACTGAGGTTTCGTTTCTCTCAACTCAGTATTTTTCTGTTGATTGCAATTTATTAGTTAATTACATGAGTAGTTCATCTCTACATTCTTATCATATATTCACTGCGCAAATTATACATGTGAGTTGAGAGTACTGAACATGTGACTGCTAAATTTTGATATTGATCTTAGAACTTACGAAAATGATAATTAATATTGCTATTATATTGATTGAGATTGAAATTGTTCATGATTATTATTGCAAATCTTGTTAAAATCCATCTGTCATGTTAACTGTTTTAATTAATTTCCTAATGAAGATCATGATTTTTGGCGAAACGGTGCGTTGTTCGATTTAGATCGCTGATTCCGATGGACTCCCTCCCCCGTTTCGTATTATTTTTGGTATCACAGCATGGTTCTAGGTTAGGAAATTTTTATGCTTAATCGTATTTAGCTGTCAGTGCATCCCACTCATCCCAGTTAATTATTAGTGCATGCCTAATCGCACAGATCTACCCTAGGTGAGTCAAGTCAATCAGTTAGTGAGTCCAGCATGTCTTCTGAATTTCTTAAGAAATTCGATGAGGTAAAAAGACAAATAGGTATTGTAGCCCAGAGCTTAACAAATTTCCAGAATGAAACCAACGAAAGATTTGCTAGGCTTGAAGGAGCGCGTGTTGTAACTCCGTCGCCACAAAGTCAAGGCTATGGATACCCACCGTAAGGTCATGGGTACGTCGTTCATCGATCCCCACCTCAACCAGTGTCTGATCCATCAACCTTTGACGGTAAGTTCGACCCACAAACTTTCTTGAATTGGCTGAAGAATATGGATCGATACTTTGACTGGTATGCCATGACAGAACCACGAAAAGTCAAGTTTGCGATAATGAAACTCACCGGACTAGCCTACTAATATTGGTCCAAATTCGAAACATTAAGGTATATTAGTGGTGAGTTACCAATTTTAACTTGGCAAGAAATAACTGACGAACTAAAAAGGGAATACCTTCCACCAGTTAAAATTAATAAGCCGCATATGACAGAATCAAAATCTATTCTTGAGAAAACCGTTAATCAGGTCGTAGATTTGATATAAATTAACTCTGCGAATGAATTCCAAGATAGTAAAATTAAAAATCCATGCACTTTCGTTTCTTCTGAAACTACCCCTGCAATTGTGGAGTTAATTAAAATTTCATGCAATGACAAAACTCCGATTCTTTCCCAAGCTACCTCTTTGATCACGGAGTCCACTGATGTTATCCCTGAAGTTGTTCTTGAAATTGAAATTCTAACTCTTTCTGAACCAACTCCAGTGATTGAAAACGTTGTTGATATTCCCCACGAAGTCTTTCCGGACAAACATGACACACAACACGTTCCTGATTTGGCTCTTGAATCGATTCACTCAAACATCTGTATGGAAGTCGAATACCAAACTAAGCATAGTGAAATAACTACCATATTAGATATCCCACCACCATGCATTGTCCCAACAATCACTCACACATACACTAATCCATTTTGGGAAATTATAATGATTATGGATACAAGTTTGAGCACGAGTGTTTTCATTTCTTTTTTCTCACATACTAAGCGCACAAAAACACTCTGTCATACATTTGCTTGCATGTTCCTCACTATCATTGTTAGTACAAGAAAATTTTTATGTATTTTAACAAAGGAGCACCTAATTTTTTTATTTGATAGAGGACGTCATGCATGTTAGATACTTCGTTGAGTTACATCTGCCATTGACCGCATTTTTCGAGTCTACATTTCATATATAGTCATTCGAGTTGATTGCATCATTTTGTTTTGATTTGCATTGATCATATATTAGGGAATCAGTGATCTAACTTGAATAAATACATTGTTAACTGAAATGAATGATATGGAGTTAGGACATAATTTAAAACTATTAATGCTGATATTTTAGATGATTTGGACTTGTCCAATACAGTTTCTTTATAGCTGTTTAAGATTTGACATGATATTTATGAGCTTTTCCAACTCTTGAACTAATTAATGACAACATTTATTGATTTGGTCATAGTTCTATTTTTAATATTGAGTGACTAAATAGTTCACAATGTTATTGGCAGTCCACTGATATAAGTCTGATCCTAACCTATTATTTATGAGAGTTCTTTTACTTTACCCCATTTCTATATATCCATCCATACAGCAGTGAATTTAGATAAGATGATGAATTTACAATGCAATCTAGCTAATGATTTGAGATGCAGAAAAATAACTGACAGCAGATTAAGATACAAACAGAGTATATTGAAGATGACAAGTTTCTACAGCTAACTCGACGGAGTCGAGTTTTCTCCCACCCGGGGAGAATAATAAGAACAAGAAATGGTAATATTGATTAGTTGATGTATTTTTAAATTTTGAATTTTGAAATTTAAAATTTGAAATTTAGTTTAATTTTAGTTGAGTGATTTGAGGGATTGTTGTTTGTTTCTATTTTTATTGCACGTTGTGTGCACGTAGTTTTTTTTAATAAATAAGGTTGTATGAGACTATTAAAAATAAATGAATTTGAAAAATGAAATGAATTATTGTGTTAGCTTAATCAATTGGTGTGAAACCATGAAGGGTGTGAAACCCTAGGCTACCACTGTTCAGTTGTTTTCTTTTGTTTCAGCAACCAGTCCTTCGTTGTCTCTCCACATCAATTACAAATCCCGCTCCTGTTCATCTTTCTTCAACCTCAGGCTCCACTTCCTCTCTTCCCTGCCACAAACCACCACCATCAATCACCGCCCTTGCCTTCCCCACCTTCGAGCAACAACCACGTCCTTCCCCCTCCTCCTCCTACTCAGCCGCAGCCCTATCTCTCTCCCCGTCGCTCCCCATAACAGCATAACCACCTTTACCTCCTCCACTCGCCGTCGTCCAGTCCCCACGCCCTGATCCCTCACCTTTGAACGCAGCAGGAGCTACTTTACTCTCTCCTCCGTTTCTACGAAACTACCTATCGCCGATCAAAAGCCTTCCAGATCTCTGCAGGAGTTGAGCTGGATAAATATTTGGGAAGCCATTCACCAAGGAGAGATCAGAGCCTACTTGTGACATGTGTGGACTTGTTGATATGATGGCTTTGGGCTTCACTATAGTAGTTAATGGGCTTTGGATTGTTTGGATTTTTATCAACATTTCTGAATAGTAATCCACTGAGGTTTCGTTTCTCTCAATTCAGTATTTTTCTGTTGATTGCAATTTATTAGTTAATTACATAAGTAGTTCATCTCTATATTCTTATCATATATTCACTGCGCAAATTATACATGTGAGTTGAGAGTACTGAACATGTGACCGCTAAATTTTGATATTAATCTTAGAACTTGCGAAAATGATAATTAATATTTCTATTATATCGATTGAGATTGGAAATGTTCATGATTATTATTACAAATCTTGTTAAAATCCATCTGTCATGTTAACTGTTTTAACTAATTTCCTACTGAAGATCATGATTTTTGGCGAAACGGTGCATTGTTCAAATTAAATCGCTGATTCTGATAGACCCCCTGTTTCATTTCGCATCATTAATTATCATTGTTCAACAGCAAATACATCATGGTAAGTTAAAGAATTTATCCCAAAAAAAAGACACCAGCCCAAGTTAACGGAATGCCAAAAAAGAAGAGATTGAAATCGAAGCTAATACCTAAGAAGTCTTCATTGTATTTGTCTCCCATCTCGAAATCAAGACATCTAAATCAACAAACACCTATAGGCTAAATTTCCCAACTCAAAATCTAAGAGAACTTGGTTAAAAGCAATTAAAAAGGATATGACAATGGTTAACGTAGCAAAAGAGATGGCGAAAAATCAAATGGAATGGAAGAATAGGATTTATATAGCTGACCCCAAACATTTGGGATAAAGGCTTTGTTGTTGTTGTTGTTGTTTTTTGGTGTAAGAGTGCTATATCCCAGAATTTTTGACATTTGGAGGGCTGATTGCCCCATGTTTCCTGCAATTATTCATTAGCAATTGTAAAAATCAAAACCCATCTCAAATCACAAAAAAAAAAGAGCCAAAAAATCACAAGGCATAAGAATTGAAGAAACACCCAGAAGCTGGAATCTCGTCCAATTGATGGGAACCAAAGAAAGAAACCTAGCTACTCAAGTAAGAACAGAGAGATAGAGGGTTTCTGAACTGAGATTGTACACCCTCTACAACACCGACGAGCCAATCCACCACGATAATTAGAGAGGGGTCTGCTCTTGCTCTCCACCTGAAATTTCAGCGCGAGAGAGATCCAGTTTGATTCTCGAAAAACTCGGATTGATTTTTAAGGTTGTGTTTGGCAACCAAGGTATTTTTCTTATTGTGCTTCTCTGAAAAAACACCATGCCATTGTGTCGCCCCCCGAAAATACACACCATTTTAAGTTAGTTTTTGCTCATTACATATTACATATGCTACCAACCCACCAACTACCATTAGTTCCACCCTTGACCGCCACCCATACACCCGTCCACTAGCCATCGGCCGCCATTTGGAAGCTTCGCTTCCATCGTCTGTGGTTATCACAAATATTTTAAAAGAACTCTAATATAAGGCCAGTTTCATTTTTTGGCCTTCATTTACTTTGAAAAAACAATTTTTATTAGGGTAAATTAAACCATGTGAGTTTATAACATTCAATGCATAATTACCCACAAATAATATTTGTAGGAGTATCTACAAAAAATTAAAAAAAAAAGAGAAAAATTCAAAACAATTCTGTCAAAATGGAGCAGGGTGCGAGGGGAGGGGGAAAAAACTAGGCAAAAAAAAAAGTGAAATTGACACAAATTAGAGCAAAAGTCAAAGCAAAAAAATTTAGGGCAAATTTTGCGGTATGAAGAGTTCGAAGGGAGTGAGCGGAGGAAGAATACATGTGAATACCTTTGGAGGACTACGATGACTTCCACCGCGATGGAGACGATCCCAGTGGCGATCGCGACGAGGAGGATGTGGTGGTCAGTTGGCGGTAGAAGAGGGAGGAAACGAACACGCTCAAAACCGTTTGGTTTGGGCGTTTCTACGTTTCAGCCCAAAGCGAAGGCTCAATTACGCGACTGTCCACTTTGCACTCACCAGTATTTTGGCAAAGTATTTTTAGACAAATTTATTATTTATTCATTTTTAATTCACCCACTTCCACGTATATTTTACTAGGTTTTATGCACGTGAAATGCACGTAGCTAAATACCATAATTGATTTATTCTCTTACTAAAATTTGTTCATCGGTCCCATTTTGATAGTTTTTGCTCCCTCATAACTCTAAACTTTAGCATTATGATTATTTAATTTCTTTAATGTTCGTTTGATTGCGTTACACCAAATTTAAAATTTGACGTTACTGATTAAATTGATAGAAAATAAATATAATTCAAAACCAATTTGAATTTTTATTTTATTTGGACCGACATGAAACCGAGCTTGACTTGAAAGTATACTGTTGCGAAAGTGAACATCACTTGAAAAAATAAAATGAAAACGAACAATTAAAACAAATAAGCTAAGATGATTGATTAAAAATGGTTTAGAGCGAAACTAAAGAGAATATAAAATTTATTCCTAACCATTAATAGACTTCATTAAAAATTATAAACTAAACATTAATGCCAACTCTAGTACAATTTTATATAATAAAAGCATCCACATGGTACTAAAAAAAAGTTCATGAAAACCCTCTTCTAAAGATTCCTTATTTTACTCAAAAAAATTAAACTATTCTATAAAATATTCAAATAATAATAATGTCATTTATTCCTTCTATTTCATTTTTATTGAGTCGAGATCAATCCTTCTATACCTTTATCCTTTTCCTAGGCAATTCTAGAGTAGTGTCTTTATCGTCTACATCGATTGTGACATCATGTTAGAGCTAAATTTCTTGTGTTGTTATATTTCTCTAGGCTCATTCATCTTTTATCTTCTTATCTTACATCATAAAGAAGTTGAATATATTTCAGATGTTCAACATAAACTTCTGGAAATATGGACTTTGATTATTTTTCTGTTTTAATAAGAATAAATATTAATTTCATATATATATAATTTTTGTGTTTCTCATTTATTACTTAAATAAGGTTAGGAGTTACATCTTTTTCCTCTGTAATGAATTCTTCTGTTGTGCATCCTATAAGAGTTTCGCTACATCAAGTAATGTTACTTTTGCTTTGTCCATGTTATTTTTCATGAGGACATGAACTAAATAACTGCATTTTTCATTGTCAATTTGCCTTAGATTATAATGTTAATATTTTATTTTTATATGTTTATTTTATTTAAAAGGGATATTGCTTAACCTTGATACTATGTCATTGGCTATTCTGTGAAATTTATCATTTGGGTACTCTTATTAGCATCTTTATCCACCTTCTTGTTTTAGCCTTTGCAACTGTAGAATCACTGTTCAACTCTATTGTAAATGGTAGTTATTTTTGCGTTATAGATGTGATAATGTGTTTATATATTGGTAAACTATTTTTAGGTTTAATTGTGTGAATTTTAGAGTAGGTATTGTAAAATCATACATCTTTCGAATATTATGATGATTGCATATGTAAGTAATCTAATTTTGTGTCGTATTTATAATTAAAGAGTTTTAATGGAGATACTTTTGTCTTGACAACTTATTCTGAATGAGCCCAACATATTAGCTTTAAGATGTAATATTTTTTCTTTATTGTGTTATATAGATATTTGCTTGGTTTACTTACTATGCTCTTATTTCTTCAGTAAGTTGTATCTTTTGATTTTATTTCCTTCCTCTTTCTTTCTTTCCTTATTGTTAGTTTTGTGTACATTTACTCTTTATCACATCCACTCTTTATCTATCCACTCTCAATCTCGTTTTGTGCTTATTTACACACAATCACTCTCACTCTCTCTATCTCTCCACAGTCACATTCGTCACTCCTAATTATCACACACACAACATAAGAATCGATTTTGATTTTCTCCTACAAACACTTCCTCGTGAGATCGATAATTTTTTATACTATAACTTGATTGGTTGTACATTTGCAACTTTTAGTTATCATTTAGACCCTATCATGTGTAAATGTGGGGTTCAGTTGTGTTCATTTAACCTTTCTCACTGATGAAAACCCTTGCAGAAGGTTCTACATATGCCTAATAGTGAGTGTAAATGTGGGGTTCAGTTGTGTTCATTTTATGATCTTATGATTTTTTATTTTCTAAAAATTTTAGTACTAAATGTTCAGAATGGTTGTTGTGGCTTGTGCAAATGGTACGATCGGCCAATTCTCAATATTACTGCTAGATTAGTACCTCTTCTAAGAGATAAAATGCTTAAGTTGAATTGCAACATGAATGAACTAGATAGATTGTCTGAAGAGAGTTCTAATGATCTACATTCATACTAATCATTGGTTAAAGTATGAGATAAATAGCTATGAAGAGGAAAATGAACTGTTGAAAAAGAAGGTCATTATTGTCAAAACGATACTACATCTTGGTTGAAGATTGGCAGATTGACAGTTGACTTTGATTTACAGAAAAAATCTTTGGGAATGTATAAGTGTGCTACTATGATGTTAAGGATAGTTATATTCTTCATGGTTGCATTTATAATAAATTTTTGGGACATGGGGATGTAATTCTAATGGATATTGTAATGGTGGTTAATGTAATGTTGTAGTATATTATGATGAAATGCCGAGGTTAATGTAATGGTTAAATTTGAGCAACATATGTTTGTAATATTGTATTACATTGTTATTATTGATAACAATAATTGCCCCGAATCTAATGAAACTTTTAGCATGATATTGTTTATCTTGCATTTTACCTTATGTACAAGTTACATGATCAATTAAACCTGGCAATTACCATATATCCTCCAAAAATGCACAAATTTGTAGATTCTGGGACCAAGATGCACAAATACATATAATCACCATAATCCAAACAAGTGCCTTGCATATTTGTCCAGAAGTTTACACCAACAATATGTACAAATACACTTTTACACAAACCGAGTACATATCATATTGGAGCAACATGAATATGAGTCAAACATAAGAAACTTCTAAATAGCATATTTGTCCAAACAAAATATAAATACTATTGGCACTAACATTGCCAAATCTAAATACAAGTAATGTTACCAAAATTAGTGACATAATATCAACAACACATGCCACATTAAAAAGTATTACAAGTTCCAGTTAATCCCCTTAGTATTCTTATTCTTGATTGTTTGTGATTTTTGAAGGTTGAGTTTGGTCTACAACTTGAGGTGCACTTTGTGATATTGGTGTCTAGCTAATAGTTGGATCCACAAAGACGATATCATCATTATCTCATTTCCAAACAACAAACCCTTAAAGGACCTGAACTTGGTTGTTCCTCCCTCTTCCTCTACCTCTTTCTCTTCTCCTTTCTCTAGTATCTTCTATTGTCTTAATTTGAGCTTCACCTTCATCTTAGAAAAAAAGCACCACATAAGTGTAATTAGCATTTAAATTGCATGAAAAATAATAAAAGCCATTTAGAACCATCATAATGTTACCTTATACAACATTTACATCCCTTATAGACATGTTCCTAATAAATTATTAAGCTCTAGGGGTTGGATTTTTGTTGATAGTTTGACTTGACTGAGTTGCATTATTGGATTGAATTTGAGTTGCCTAGAATTGCAAATGCATAAACTATGGAGTGTGTATTCATGCACAACTATCTATTTGAGGTGCATTTTGTGATAAATTTGTCATAACTGTTGTCTAACTAATAGTTGGATCCACAAAGGCCATCTTACCATTATCTCTTTGTAGAGAACCAAACCTTTGAGGGCCCCAAACTTCATCACTTCTCCCCCTTCCACAACTCTACCTCTACATCTTCCTCTTCTCCTCCCACTAATAACATCTGTTGTCTGAGTTTGAGCTTCACCTTCACCTTAGAAAAGATGCACCTAATAAGTACAATCAACATTTGAATTGCATGAAAATAATAAAATCCATGTAGGACCATCTTAATGTTACGTGATATAATATTTTTATCTCTTATAGATCTATTCCTAATAAATAACTAAGCTCTAGGAGTTGGATTATTAGTTGTCATTTCCTTAGTTGATAAGCTAGTTCTTGTTTTTCTTCCTTTTTCTTACCCTTTTTTCTCCTTTGACTTGATTTAGTTGCATTATTGGATTGAATTTTTGTTGCCTAGAATTGCAAATGCATAAACTATGAACTGTGTATGCAAGAACATTTTATGATGGATTCATCATAATTGTTGTCTAGCTAATAGTTGGATCCACAAAGGTCATCTCACCATTATCTCTGCATCTCATCATTATCTCTTTGCAGAACACCAGACCTTTGACGGACCCAAACTTCGTCGCTCCTCCCCCTTCCACCACCTTTGCCTCTACCTTGACATATGAACAACAAAACCTGTCCTTAACGGGATGGTACTGACTTTCATACAGGTGTTGCATGGCTGTCGTCAGCTCCTCTTCCTCTTCTCCTCCCTCTAATAGCATTTATTGTCTAAGTTTGAGCTTCACCTTCACCATAGAAAACAAACACCAAATAAGTGTAATCAGCATTTAAATTGCATAATTTATGATTGTGTTTCCTTGCATAACTATCAATTTATACATTTTACATTACCCGTTGAGCTGATTATCTTTCACTATGGGGTGGTGCAGTTGGAAGCTGATTGAATGCTTATTAGAAGAACAATTATTATATCTTTGAGAGATACATTGTCTTGATAATTCGGATAGGTTTCTTAGACCTTTATATGGGGCCTCTCCTCCTTGCTATTTAGTTCCCTATTTTTCTCCAATTAAGATTTGGAGGCAATACCATGCATCCCCTATCTTTGTCCCTTAAATTTACTACCTTGCATAGGTCTTAATAACCTTTCATAACTATCTAAGTAAGTGTCATCCTCATACCGTTCTAATATTATAATCCTATATTTTTCTTCTCATGAACAATATTGCACTAACAACATCTGTGTAAGGGATCCTTATCAAATCCAACCCTATAAGCACATATCCTCTTGCCAACATCTACTACATGTCTTACATGTATATGAATCAACTCAAACCCATCCTCATCAGTAGAACTATTCCAACGTAACTCAGAATACATTTGTTCACTATAAGCCTCCTACAATTTTTTATGCACTTTAGGTGACATTCTGTTGACAAACTTCTCTACTCATTTTTTTGGGTGCATTCTCTCTATCAAAGCTATTCGAATAGTATCTAACTGTAGATGATTAAAATATATTTTCTACCAAGATTAATGTTTATCTTAGATCCAAGAAGTGAACGCTCATAGGCTAAACACTTCGAATGGGTCTAAAACCGAGCCCCACAACAAGCTGTGTTGAAGGTCGCTTGACAAACAGGCAGACCTCGACACACAACCCATATCGATTCGACTCAACTCAACTAAGTCAAGAACGAGTTGACTCCTAATTCACGCTCTAGGTCAAATCAAAAAGCATCATTTGTCAGCCAAATCATGAATTGAATTCAATGTCAAAATTCAAACTCACAGATGAAGCTTTCTAGCCAACAAAGTTCGCTCATGGCAACCCTAAGTGTATCAAGTCATTCACAGTTCCAAAAAAGCTCACTGACGTCCAAGTGATCCTCACCCAAACGTCTTCAGTGAACTTCGACTGGATGTCTTCAGTGAACTTCACCTAGACATCATTAGCGAACTTCGTCTAACATCTTCAGCGAACTTTGCCTAGACATCTTCAACGAGCTTCGCCAAGTCAGTGAACCCTACCAAACAGCTATTAGAAGGCTATTTTCAAGGGAATAACTACTCCCCACTATCTCCTATTTTAATATTCACTTAATTCCCAATTAAAGGCTATTAACTCTCTCTTTTAGCCTATAAAAGGAAGGGAGTTTGCTCATTATGGAAAGAGATCAGATCATAGGGAGATCAACATACACACAAGAAGAGAGATCATTGGCCTCATGCTTGAGATTCTACTGAGCAAAAAAGCTAAGAGAAGACTGAGTTATTTTCTAAGAAATTGAGCTCTTATCAACAACAAGAGATTCCTTATCTTAATCGTACATTAACAGAATACAAGATTGACATTTCATCGGCACATAAAAAAGAACCTCAGGAAATATAAATTTTTTCTTTTGTTTCGTTGAAATCTTTGTATCATAATTTGTGTTAATTATAATTTTAAAGACTCGAAATAGGATGGCGACTCTACTGGAGACTTCTTTCTCGTCCGACGAGAAAATCGTATCGCACACTAACAAAGACCCTCGAGTTGTTTGCTAAATCGTTGCTCATTGAGATTGACCAACCTAATTTCAAGGAATTCATTTCCATAAACCAATCCTCATCAACGATGACTGAATGTAGTTATCATAAAATTCACCATAGTGTGAATCTCGGGTCTAAATGCCCGCCCCCCCCCCGCCCCGTATGTGTAAAGGTGACCTTCACCAAAGACAATTTGAGCTTAGCTAAAAGCCAAACGAACTTCACCTAGAATGAAGAAAACTCGACCATCGTCTCGAGTGAAGGTCAAGACGTTATTACATCTTTTAATCTCAAACATCAGTCCATAACTCCTTTAGAATTTTGATTTAAAGCACCTCACGATCTTCGTTATGCTTCCTCGATAGAAGCCAATAATGGGAATAATATCTCATCTAAATTATTGCAAGGCAATAACATCATCAACGATGATTTGTCTAAATTTTCTAAACAAAAGTTTGGCCAACATCGCAATAAGCAACATTCGCATATCAAGGCTAAAGACAGAGAAATTGACTCTAAAAAGTGTCCTCAACTTGGGACTATTGGTAACCTAAGAGAGTTCCTATCTCTAAAGAGAGCTCGCCGGATGTCAGCGTTGTGTGACCCTTAGGGAAGTAGTCATGGCAGCTCAGAGAAATTGCTAATGCAAAGTTATTCTTAAAAAGGAATTAGTTTTTAGCCGTCTTAATCACGATCCTGAGCCTTTAGAGGTTCAAAGACATGTCCGAAAGGGTAAATCCTAAGAATTCACTGTTAACATGACTAGTAAATTCTGGAGATGAAGAAGAGGGTGTAGATAGTTCACTTGACCTATTGTACTCTCCTAGTATCGGAGGTATATTGCCAGAAGTTGATAGTGTGTATCGTCACACTAGATTAAGGTAGAGAGCACTACTCCTCCCTCCAAACATGAATAGTCCAGACTTTGTCTCAAGTGAATCAACCTACTTATAGTGATGCCAACTCTATCATAACATCAAATGCAACCCCTAGTTTGAGTCAAGTGACAATGGGAAGCAGATGTGACAGACCGAGAAGATCTTCTTACTCAAATGACAGCTCAACAAAAAAGATTTAGATCAGCAATTCAAACATTTGGAAAAGATGCTTGAACAACTCTTATCAGCATCTCAGCCTCAACCAAGTTCTTCGAAGGGGAAAAAGCCTATTAGTGAATCCTCTCTAGAAGGAGATTAAGCGCATCAAAATGACATAGATTCTGATCATTTAGGATCAGAGGAGTCAGCACCTCCAAAGCTAAGAAAGGAAACAAAGGCCTTAGAAGATATCCAAAATAGCTCAACATTCTTTCTCAATGAACCGAGCTCAAGAAGGTTGGAATTACCCAACCTTACCCCATCGAGTGGGACAATGTTCCCTATCCGATAAAATTCCAGCTACCAATGTTGCACATTTTTAATGGTAAAGGTTATCTAAACTAGCATGTCTATAACATTTATTAACAAATTGGGAATGTAGTGGGTAATTATGCCATTAATGTGCACTTTTTTATTAGCATCCTCTAAGGGGTAGCCTTCGATGGGTTCCAGAATTTGCTCAAGGATTCAGTCAAATCATGGGCAAATCTAGAATTAAAGTTCCTCTCACAAATTGATGAGTAACAATCTGATATTACCATGGCTAAACTCCTCTCCAAAAAAACAAAGAGAAAATGAGACAGTTAGGGAGTTCATCGAGAGATACCACAATTTGACATTGCGATGTTGAGATATACCTCTACTGATATTACTTCAAACCTATCGACATAATTTTGTGAGATGGATAGAAGCTCATATGGGTGCTATTACAGCTTACACATGGAAGGATTTGATGGAATAAACTGAGATAGCAGAAAAGTCATTAGAACGTTTCAACAAATTCTAGCCTCGCACCAACTTTAAGGGCAGCAAAAGTAAACAAGGGCAAACTTCCCAATTAAAAGACAAAGAGACTTTCACGGTCAAGGTCCAAAACCCTAACGACCAAAAAAGAAGACCAAGGAAGAATATTCAACATAGTTATTCTTTTAAAGATGAACATACAGTAGCCATCTACCATGTTCTCAATAAGGGCAATCAGTTGAAGCTTCTTGAATCTCGATGCCCTGAAGAAGTCGAAAAGACCGATGACCCTAACTACCTTCTTTATCACAAAACGTTGGGACACGTGATGAAGAACTGCTACATCTTCAAGGATAGAATCTAGACCTTTATCAAATCAAGGATTCTCAAGCTCAAACTTGAGTAAGGACGAAAGTGGTCCCTCCAATTCGGCTTTATGCCAAAAGCTAAGCCCAAGATGTCTTTGGCCCCATTCATACTGTAAGGATGGAAGTGGTCAATTATGACTAACAAAACCAACAAAGGTTACAAAGCCAAGGCTTAATCCCCTCACTACAACAAAAGGAGAAATGACGTGGGTGCATCATGATATTCTCCAAGATGAGTGTTGGACTCTTCAGAAGCCCAAGACCAAGCGTGAGATGAAGTCATGCAATGCCATCTCGGCAATCATCAAGGAGGAATCTCTATAATTAATCTCGCTTACTAATACGGAGGAAGAAAAGATTGTTATGACAAGGACATGATCTAGCCAAGATTATTTAAAGAATTATGATCAACCAGGGCCTTCCAAACAACGCAAACTGACCAAGTAAAACGAATCTCGGTTCAATAATGCTTTGGAACATCCCTCAGACAAATCCTAAATCCCCCGTTCTGGTACGACATTATGGCTCAATTAGCCAATGTTTTTATTTTTTGTTTGAGCGGGCTCCTAAAATTTCCAAACCCCTCTTCTAAATTTTTCTTCCCCTTTTGTTTTCCTCAAACACGCTCGTTACTTTTGCAAAACCTTCGCTTTCAAAATTTCTCAAGTCTTGAGCTGTCGTCCTCTGCTTCATCTCTGGGTTCCTCCTCATCCACCTCCTAAAGACCCGGCATTCTTTTTGTGCTTCTCTACTTCTGAAACCATAGCTGCCGCCATTCTCTTCTTCTATCGTTCTCCAATTTTCTTGTCCCGACCTCGGTCGAAACCCCATCGTCTAAGCCCCAGTGTCTTCTCGTCTCCTCTCTTCAAAAAATCAATTATTCTAGGTGCTTCTCTTTCCCAAAGATCCACCCTATCTCTGCCTTAATTCCTCCTCTAAAAATCTTAACCCAAGAGCTAGATCTTAGTCTTTGATATCTTATTCTTCAAGCTAAGTAGATTTCTGTCTCTTTCTTTGCATTTTTGCTTTTAGATTTCAATTAATTTTTATATTTTTATGATAGAACCGGAACTTGATTTTGGAGATGATCATAGATGTGATTAGATTTCAATTACCTAGCTCTCTACACCATATTCCGTAAACTTGACCCTAACCATGCTGCATCGAAGAAGGTGCTCAAGCAAAAGAGGGAGATCGCCAAGAGGCTCGACCGACCTCTAATCAACACTAATTAGTATGAGGACTCCTTCTATCTTCGATTATTACTATTCCTTTTTGCTTTTTTTCTTGGGATTTATGGCGGTTTTTATCGATTAGTTTTGGTATTCTTGTTTCAATCAGTTGTTTTCATAAACCCTAGAATGGACATTGTGACAGCTTATGTTAATTATATTTGTAGGGTGTGATAGCATGTGTTGTTATAAATTATGTTCATATTGATGTTGAGTTTGAGTTTGCTGGAGGCCTTGACAAGATTAAACAAGAATTATTTGAACTGGTCATTCTTCCCCTGAGGAGACCTGAATTGTTTACGCATGGGAAGGTTCTTAGTCTACAGAATGGGGTTCTACTGTGTGGATCTCCAGGGACTGGAAAAACAATGCTAGCAAAGGCCATTGCTAATGATTCTGGTGCTGTTTTTATTAATGTGAGGGTGTCTAATTTGATGAGTATACTATGAAGGCAATACATATTTAGAATAGAGATTTAGTTAGCACAATTTGGATATATGTTTTCGTTGTTTTGACTTGTAGATAGAGATTGAGAATTTAAGCATAAGTATGTACCATTTGCACATAATATTTATGTTGGACTGGAGATTCCAAGACTTTTGTAGCTAACATTTCTGAAGCCTTAATTTAGAATTTCAGAACTATGCTGACATGACTCCAAATACTTCTTCTTGTGTTTGATTGTTCCACCTTATTTTGTGTGGGTTTTCCTATCCAACTTTGTCATATAAGGCGGTGTTTTGTATTCTAGCTTGAGCACCCGTCAATCTAGATTTAGTTAGAATTAATTAGAGATTGATCAATGATGGCTTCTTCCTTCTTTGGGTTTTGTCATTGAACTCTTGTGTCATAGTTTGCTTTAATATTTGAGCTCTGGTAGGTATGGTATCTGATATCTTATAAATTTTCTTTAGTTGTCCTGAGCTACAGCTTATAACAACAATAGAGCCTTTATCGAGCCTTTAACCTAAATTGTTCTCTACGTTTTCAGTTTCACTTATCTTCTACGCCGAATCTTACCCTTAACTTAGTGCCTGTGATATTTTCTAATTTGGGAAACTATTTACTTGTCTCCTGACAAGTTCATAAACCAATTGGTTTAGTAACATAACCTCGTGCATATATAGTGGTACAATTTTATAGGAGCTTCAAATCAAGGATGAAGTGATGATAGGAAGGAAATTGCTGAGAGGAAGGAAAATGGGGGTGGATGGAAAGGTGAATATGGAGATGAATACAAGTACAAATGGCCATTCAATTAAAATAAGAAAGAGTAAATTTTTTCTTCTTGATGTTTATTATGTAGATACACGTAGCTACCTAAAATTAATGTATTTGTATGAAATGCCTTTTGACTACTTAAGGAATTTCTTAAAGTATAGATACCAGTTACACAATTATAAGTTTGTGATTGTGATGCCTTCTCTTTGTAAGAAGGAAAGAATGTGGATTCTTCAAGCAAATTTGCATCGTCAAGCCAAAATGACAAGGTTGGCAATCTTTCTAACTATTGTATATGCCATCTTGTGATCTAGAGGAATTCACATTGTGGACATTTCTATTTCAGGCTAGGTACCATTTGACAATAATAGATAGAAGTGAAGAAAATATGAAGATACTGTTGTAGGCATATAAAATTGCTTATAGATCCCTTAACACGGCTCAACACGAACTAATCGGGCGACGTATCTAAGCACGAACGTCGGTCCACAACACCGAAGCCAAGTGACACGCAACGAAACGGATTAACAAGGCTACGAAGCTGACGAACCGCATGTGAACGACGGAATGAATCCACTCGCGTGCGGAATCAAACCAACGGTTTAGGGAGTCAACGAGTCATCCAACCATATAACGGATTCGAACTCAGACACCAAAGCCGATTTACTGCCAAATCAGGAATCAAGTCAACGAATCGATTTCAGACCAATCAACCGCATAACCGAATCACGGACGAAGCGGATACAAGAACCGAAACAACCGAACGACGGACGCAAAACTCTCATCATTTTGGGGGACTTTTTGGAAGAACTTTTGGAGAGCCGAAACTCTGCCGGATTGAGACCTCATCTTGGAGTTTTTGAAGGCTTGAAGACTTGGACATTCAGATCTGATTCTTGGCGAGCACCCGCATCACAAAAGGCAGGAGTTCGAGGGGATCGAGATCTCAGATCTACGTTGTTACACTCCGGATCAAAGCTTGGTCTTTGATCCCGAGATTCGAGCGATTGTTTCCTTGGTGAAATAATCCCTCCGGCTATTATTTCCTTGGTGAAATAATACCCGTTATACTGCGTAGATCTGCTCAGATCTAGATCGCGCGGTGGTCCACGGCAAACAACCCCGGCGCAGGCAAACAACCCACCAAAGCGAGCGACCGTAAAACAGGAGCTCGCGATTTGTTCGACAAAAGAGAAAAAGTTGTAATTTTTTTTAATTTTCTTTATTTTTGATTTTTCATTGTAACCGGATCTTTTGTAATCGAAAAACTGTTATTCAAGATAGCAATGGAATCAATGAAGAAAGCAACGATTTTTCCCGCGAACAATCTGGCGACCACAGGGGGAGCCACCGATCTCGCTGCCGAGATCGGAGCGTCGCAGCCGCGGATCTCGATCCCGGTCGTGGAGGAGGTCGAGTATGAGTTCGACCAGCAGAAGTACGAGGAGTACGTGTCCTCATCTGGATCAACCTCCCCCCGTAAGTCCAAGAAATTCCAGAAGTTCTCCTCCAGGAGAAAAGTCCGTTGGTGCGAAGAAGTTGAAGCCACCAACGACAACCTCACCCCGATCGACGCCGAAGTTGCGTCGGGTGAAGTCACACCGGCCTCTAAGCAGGTCAAGTCCGTCGTCGAAGGCGTGGTGACTCTCTCTAAGAGAGCTCGCCAGAGGCAGCGTCAACGCCTCGCGAAGCAATTCGCCAAGGCCATGGAGTCCGTTGACGGGGTCCGCTACAATGCGGATCTGAAGAACAAACGAGGCAAACAGCCTCAACATCAAGTGAAGAGTGGTTCCTCCAAGCCATCAACGATGGAGTGGGTCCGGGTCAAACGGAACCGTACGACGCTGGAGGAGCGTATCCGCAAACGCCGCGCATTATCGGCACAAGTACGGGCCAAGGCTGAAGAAGCCCGTCGGAAGTTACAGAAGGAGGTGGTCAAGAAACCGCCATCAACTCGTATGGTTTGGAGGCCGAAGTCTGAAGCGGCGGTTCAGACCAAGGAACAACAACTGCAGCCGCCGAAAGTTCAAACTACGGCGAATCAACCTAAATCGCTGGTGATTTCCGCAACTACTCCGGGAGATCATGCCGAATCATCCCGAAGGAGAAAGTCAATCTTGGAGCGCCTCGGTCCAATTCCAGATGAACGAGGCAAAGCTCCAGTTCAAGAACGGTTGGGGCCAATGAAGAAGTCCCAAACAATTCAACATGCTGGGGGTTGCCGCAACCCTCAACATTTGGAGAAAATCGTGGCACCCAAGCGCACAACTTTGCGCATCGAAGTGCAGGAGCCCGCTGAAGATTCACACCCACAAAGGCGCGTTTCGAGGCGTGTGACTCTGGAGAGCTCAAAGAAGGAAATTCATTCTCAGAAGGAAACGTTGTTGTCTGATGACGATGACGTTATACCTGGGAGATCGTGCCAACACACGATAGGTTGCTCCGACTTTCAAACGGACAAGCTGTACTATCGTGCTGGAGGTACGAGCAAATCCAGAAAGAGGAGCCCTCAAAGATTAGAGACTCAATGTCCTTGCTCAAAACTCATTCGGGCGGTATTATCTGAGTGCGACTGCACCAAAATGTTTCCCGAAAGAGTTTCCGTGTTCCAAAGACTCAGCATGGAAGCGCCAAAGCCAAGGACTAGACGTTTCCGAAGAAGAGGAACAATGGTCAAAGATGATGGTAGGGTTCGGACAAGACGCCCTTCAGAAGATGAAGAATCTGATGCCGGCTCCGTAGTCGCATCAGATAATACGGTATCCAGCGATGGATAACCCCGCGAGACACTTATGATAAGTGCAGAACAAATCGCCAAGATGCTTGAAGACGCCTTAGCTAAGCAGCAAAACCTTTAGGACGCCCTTCAGAAGATGAAGAATCTGATGCCGGCTCCGTAGTCGCATCAGATAATACGGTATCCAGCGATGGATAACCCCGCGAGACACTTATGATAAGTGCAGAACAAATCGCCAAGATGCTTGAAAACGCCTTAGCTAAGCAGCAGGAAACCTTTAGGTTCGAAATGCAGATGGCCATGCAAAACATGAGAGAAATGCATGACCAACAAATCCAAGCATTGGCGAACCAGCAAGGCGAGCCGAGTCGTCGCAACCAAGTCCATCAGGAGGACTTTTGGAAGAACTTTTGGAGAGCCGAAACTCTGCCGGATTAAGACCTCATCTTGGAGTTTTTGAAGGCTTGAAGACTTGGACGTCCAGATCTGATTCTTGGCGAGCACCCGCATCACAAAAGGCAGGAGTTCGAGGGGATCGAGATCTCAGATCTACGTTGTTACACTCCGGATCAAAGCTTGGTCTTTGATCCCGAGATTCGAGCGATTGTTTCCTTGGTGAAATAATCCCTCCGGCTATTATTTCCTTGGTGAAATAATACCCGTTATACTGCGTAGATCTGCTCGGATCTAGATCGCGCGGTGGTCCACGGCAAACAACCCCGGCGCAGGCAAACAACCCACCAAAGCGAGCGACCGCAAAACAGGAGCTCGCGATTTGTTCGACAAAAGAGAAAAAGTTGTAATTTTTTTTTAATTTTCTTTATTTTTGATTTTCATTGTAACCGGATCTAAAAAAGACCGGATCTTTTGTAACCGAAAAACTGTTATTCAATATAGCAATGAAATCAATGAAGAAAGCAACGATTTTTCCCGCGAACAACTGTAAGTGCCAGATAGTGATCCAAATGAGTAAGTTCTATGAAGTAAGAGCCTTACAAAATTTTAGAACTTCAAATGCTGTAAACTATAATAAATTACAAAGTTCATCAACAAGTTTTGTTTAATTATTTATTTTAATATACGTATTAATAGTTTACATATGTAATATTGCAAAGTTCATCAAGCTCTAGTTATTTCCTTTTTTTAATATATGAATTGTTTATATATTTACTTTATAGAGGGGACAACCAGTACATAGTGATTGGACAAGCAATAGAATTCAAGCAGCTGAACATCCATATTTGGAATGCCCTTGAGAAGGGGTAGTGTATCACAAGCAGGGAGCAAAGAATAGAAGAATGTAAAAAATTATAAATATATCTCCTTTCATTCTAATTGTAAATAAATATATAAATAGAAAATTAGTTATTATCTATGTAAACAATTTATGCATCGCTCTAGTATTTTTGTGAATGTATTATTTGAATATGATTGGATTTAATATTGGAATATAATTAGATTGTGTTGGATATATGAATGTTATTTGATCTTGTGTAATATTGTGCACATATACATATGATATTATATGCCGTGTAAAGTAGATTTTGTAAAAAAATATAGCATCCTAGATGGAAATTCTGTCTAGGATGCTTCCTAAACGAAAAATCCGTCTAGGATGGACATACTAGACGGAATTTCCGCCTAGGAAGCAACCTAGACAAAATTTAGTCTTCTGTCTAGGTTATTTTCCATCTAGGTTGATCAAACTAGACGGATTTCTGTCTAGGTTGACTCAATCTAGACGGAAATATCCTATTTAGAGTTTTCTAGATAAAAATATGTCTAGTTTGATCTAACTAGATGGATACTTGAGCAATCTAGACGGTTTTCCCGTCTAGGTTGATCGTTTTTCTACTAGTGCCAATAAAATTAGTTAATCACAATGCAATATACATTCTAAAGGAAGAGTTGCAAATTACACATGATTTACTACTATACTTCCAGTTAGTTACACTCTAGACACACTTAATATACACACACAAATAAAAAAAACAGATGAATATTTCCCCAGATCATTATTTTTGAGTAGAATCCCTACGCCATTCACTTTTCCAATAATAGCTAAGGTCTAAGTATTGCGCGTAGCGAAAATTTCAGCAACACAACAAGAGAGTTGGGTCGCAATAGGAAATCTTGCTTAACAAAGGAAATAAGAACCTTAAGCAAACTATGTCAACAAAGTGGGATATCAGTTCTTCCTCTCATCAGTTTTAGGACTGACCTGTCGAGGGAACCTAAGTAAGCTATTACAAATCATACAAATAGCGAGGCAACCAATTTTACGTGGTTTGGCAAATTGTCTACATCTACGGGGAGAGGATGAGGAGATTCTACTAAATTAAGAAGAGTACAAAGGGTTACAATATCACAAAACTCACAAACTAACCCTCAACCAAAGCTCTCAACTTGCTCATAATATCTCCCTCTCATAATGCTCAAAAGTCTCTTTAATCTTTGATTACAACTATCCTCACTTATTATGATTGATTCTAATCTCCATATATATGTAGAAAAACTAAAACCAAAACAGACTAGGGATCCTAAAACCAAAACAGACTAGGAATCCTAAAACAAAAAATAAAACAAATTAGGAATCCTAATAACCTCATGTTACCAAAATAGATTAGGAATCCTAATAACCTCATGTTATCATGTTACCAAAAT